CTTCCGGCATCAAGACCCGGGATTCCATGGTCAAATCCCAGTCCTTCTTCGAACAGAATAATCTGTTTCACAGATGTGCGGCCTGCTTCCGGAGAAATATTCATACTGAAATAACTCTATAATAACCACCCAAAAAACTTCGCATAGGTTATTGAGGGATAATGGGAGGAAAGTTGTGTGTGTTCTCAGTGCGTAAATATCTTTCATGTTTGGGGCTGCTTTTCACCCGCGGTGCTGCGTAGCCAGCGACGTTTCGTAAATGTTATGCGGAAGGGACTTCAAATAATTTATATGAAATGGGGGTGAATGCAAGTCAGGGGTTCTACCTTGCGGCCCGTATTTCTTTGCAATTCTTTACTCAGCTGTCCCTTCATCCCACACAATGGTCACTCGACCCCGCTATCCCTTCGCCGTCTCTCGTGATTGTTTCCCTAACTTTCTTCTCTTAATCCCCTTAGATCCGTGGCTCCGGTGGGTAGGGCTTAGTTCCATTTGGATCTGTTGGTTCTGGTAGTTGTTGCGGTGAGCTTGTCATTCTTCCTCTCCCATCTTCGTCTCGGTTTGAATCATTGTCTCTCCGCCCTATGTGCAGCGGTCCCTCCCCCGTAATTTCTCAATAATGAGCTTATTGAGTTATTACGAAGTTATTTGAAATCAATTTCCTAACACGAGAGAAAATGTGAAAGTGTAACCGTGAAGGGTATTGACTCTAAATAATACTGAAATAACTCTACAATAACCGCCGAATAACCTTCGCAGAGGTTATTGAGGGATAATGGGAGGAAAGCTGTGTGTGTTCGCAGTGCGTAAATATCTTGCATGTTTGGGGCTGCTTTTCACCCGCGGTGCTGCGTAGCCAGCGACGTTTCGTTAATGTTATGCGGAAGGGACTTCAAATAATTTATATGAAATGGGGGTGAATGCATGTCATGGGTTCTACCTTGCGGCCCGTATTTCTTCGCAATTCTTTACCCAACTATCCCTTCATCCCACACAATGGTCACTCGACCCCGCTATCCCTTCGCCGTCTCTCGTGATTGTTTCCCTAACTTTCTTCTCTTAATCCCCTTAGATCCGTGGCTCCGGTGGGTAGGGCTTAGTTCCATTTGGATCTGTTGGTTCTGGTAGTTGTTGCGGTGAGCTTGTCATTCTTCCTCTCCCATCTTCGTCTCGGTTTGAATCATTGTCTCTCCGCCCTATGTGCAGCGGTCCCTCCCCCGTAATTTCTCAATAATGAGCTTATTGAGTTATTACGAAGTTATTTGAAATCAATTTCCTAACACGAGAGAAAATGTGAAAGTGTAACCGTGAAGGGTATTGACTCTAAATAATACCGAAATAACTCTACAATAACCGCCGAATAACCTTCGCAGAGGTTATTGAGGGATAATGGGAGGAAAGCTGTGTGTGTTCGCAGTGCGTAAATATCTTGCATGTTTGGGGCTGCTTTTCACCCGCGGTGCTGCGCACCCAGCGACGTTTCGTTAATGTTATGCGGAAGGGACTTCAAATAATTTATATGAAATGGGGGTGAATGCATGTCATGGGTTCTACCTTGCGGCCCGTATTTCTTCGCAATTCTTTACCCAACTATCCCTTCATCCCACACAATGGTCACTCGACCCCGCTATCCCTTCGCCGTCTCTCATGATTGTTTCCCTAACTTTCTTCTCTTGATCCCCTTAGATCCGTGGCTCCGGTGGGTAGGGCTTAGTTCCATTTGGATCTGTTGGTTCTGGATGTTGGATTTTAGGATTTGTTTGGTTTCCCTGTGATATACTTGGTTGATGATTTGAGTTCTTTATGCTACATTCAATTGATGGATTTAGTTTTTATTTTCTCTATTCAGTTGATGGTTTTGTTTTTCTTTACTCTATTTGGTTGATGCGGGAAACTTGGTGGTGATGGTGATTGCATGTGGAATTTGAAGGTGATGGATGGTTGTGTGGTGTCGTGGTAATTTGAAATGCAAATTTGAGGTTGTGTGGTGGTAATTAGATAGTTGTGTGGTGTGATGTGGTGGTGGTTTTTTTTTTTTTGCTCTAGTCGGTTGATGCCCGAAATTTGGTGGTGATGGTAATTGGAAATGCAAATTGGAGCCAGCTCTTCCGGCATCAATACCCGGGATTCCATGGTCAAATCCCAGTTCTTCTTCAAACAGAATAATCTGTTTTACAGATGTGCGGCCTGCTTCCGGAGAAATATTTAAGTATGTGTTGCCTCTCCCGATAATTTCTCAATAATGAGTTTATTGAATTATTACAAAGTTATTTCAAAACAATTTCCTAAAACGGGAGAAAATGTGAAAGTATAATCGTGAAGGATATTGACTCTAAATAATACCGAAATAATTCTATAATAACCGCCCAAAAACCTTCGCAGAGGTTATTGAGGGATAATGGGAGGAAAGCTGTGTGTGTTCGCAGTGCGTAAATATCTTGCATGTTTGGGGCTGCTTTTCACCCGCGGTGCTGCGCACCCAGCGACGTTTCGTTAATGTTATGCGGAAGGGACTTCAAATAATTTATATGAAATGGGGGTGAATGCATGTCATGGGTTCTACCTTGCGGCCCGTATTTCTTCGCAATTCTTTACCCAACTATCCCTTCATCCCACACAATGGTCACTCGACCCCGCTATCCCTTCGCCGTCTCTCGTGATTGTTTCCCTAACTTTCTTCTCTTGATCCCCTTAGATCTGTGGCTCCGGTGGGTAGGGCTTAGTTCCATTTAGATCGGTTGGTTCTGGTAGTTGTTGCGGTGAGCTTGTCATTCTTCCTCTCCTTTCTTCGGCTCGGTTTGGATCATTGTCTCTCTGCCTTATGTGCACCGGTCCCCCCCCCCAATGTTCTGGTATTCTCTACCTTATTTATGGGATTATTTTGATTTTACAAATATTTATGTGCAATGGTTTTCTTGGGTTCTCTGTGCTCCTATGGTTTGATGGTTTTTGGATGATGTTGGATTTTAGGATTTGTTTGGTTTCCCTGTGATATACTTGGTTGATGATTTGAGTTCTTTATGCTACATTCAATTGATGGATTTAGTTTTTATTTTCTCTATTCAGTTGATGGTTTGGTTTTTCTTTACTCTATTTGGTTGATGCGGGAAATTTGGTGGTGATGGTGATTGCATGTGGAATTTGAGGGTGATGGATGGTTGTGTGGTGTTGTGGTAATTTGAAATGCAAATTTGAGGTTGTGTGGTGGTAATTAGAAATGCAAATTGGTAATTAGATAGTTGTGTGGTGTGATGTGGTGGTGGTTTTTTTTTTTTTGCTCTAGTCGGTTGATGCCCGAAATTTGGTGGTGATGGTAATTGGAAATGCAAATTGAATGTGGAGGTGATGGTGCTGGAGAGTTATGTGGTGTAGATATTTGGATATGTTGGTGTGGTGTGGAGGCGGTGATGTAGGAGAGTTGTGTTGTATGGAGTTGGTGGTGTGTAGTGTGGAGGTGGTGTTTAGGGTGGTTGTGTGATGAGGAGGTGGTGATGTTTAGATGTGTTGAGTGGTTGTGTGGTGTGGAGGTGTCAGGTGGATGTGTTGGGTGTGTTGTGTGGAGGTGGTGATGTATGGATGTGTTGGGAGTATTGTGTGGTGTAGATGTGTGGGGTGTTAGTGCGGATGTGTTGGGTGTTGGTGTGGCGGTGTCGGGTGATTGTGCGGAGTATAGGTGGTGGTGTATGGATGTGTTTGTGTGGTGTGGAGTTGGTGGTATGTAGTGTGGAGGTGGTGGTGTATGGTGGTTTTGTGATGAGGAGGTGGTGGTGTGTGGATGTGCTGGGTGGTTGTGTGGTGTGGCGATGTCGGGTGGATGTGTCGGGTGTGTTGTGTAGAGGTGGTGATATGTGGATGTGTTGGGTGTGTTGTGTGGTATGGATGTGTTGGGTGTGTTGTGTGGTGTGGTTGTGTGGTGTGGAGGTGATGGTGTGTAGTGTGGAGGTTGTGGTGTATGAGCATTTTGTGGTATGGAGGTGATGGGTTGTGTGGTGTGGAGGTGGTGTTGTAGGGTGGTTATGTGATGAGGAGTTGGTGATGTGTGGATGTGTTGAGGGTTGTGTGGTGTGGAGGGGTCGGGTGGATGTATTGGGTGTGTTGTGTGGAGGTGGTGAAGTGTGAATGTGTTGAGTGTGTTGTGTGTTATTGATGTGTTAGGTTTTGATGTGGTGGTGTCAAGTGGTTGTGTGGTGTGGAGGTAGTGGTGTGTGGAT